AAATCCTTGCAAGACATTGGCAAAATTCAAGGAACAAATGAAGGGAAAAAAGAGCAAGAAAAACGTACTCAGAGCACTCAAAGCAGAAAGTTTGAGGTCACTGACAGAAGTTCTAGTTTTAAAGGCAAAACGTTTCTACTGGTTGACTACATTGACGGTATACACTATAATGTAATGTAATTTATGATAAAATGTAAATACATAGGATTCAAGATATATTTTTTGAATGGATATTTACAGGCAAAATCTCTTTTCTGAAAAGTCAAAGTGAATCACCAGAATCAGGAAACACTATTCAACACAGTAAAAGTAAGTAGAGTTGTTATGACTTTCCAAAAACAATTTTATCATGTAATAATTAAGTTATATGTAGACTTTCAATCTGACATTTTTCTTATAGTTTTACAGCTGATTAAGTCAAGGACTAACATTAAGAGACTTGGCATTAAGATTGAATCAAAGCCGGTCAAAGAGTATGACTTTGATGACGGCAAGGTAAATTATGAACCTAAAATTTTATGTACTGGTTGATGGTTAGATCTGATTCTGATTCTGTTGTTATTTGATATATTATTTAAACGGTGTTACAGTAAGTTTTTTATGCACTGTAAGTATATGCACCTACTTGCAGAAACGTTGTAGAAAATAGAACATTTGAATTTAGTAAAAAGGAATAAATTAAAACAAGACAAAAGAAAGTGTTCAGCCTCAGTGATCTTCCTTTGTCTTTTTAATTTATTCCTTTTTACTAAATACAAATGTCCTATTTCCTATGACAACGTTTCTGCAAGTAGGTGTATATATTATATATATATGTGATCTCAAAAAAGAAAAAAACAAACAAACAAAAAGCAGTCAATATGATAAATAATAAACTTATTATTGTCATAGTTCCATCTCAGCATGCTCTTCAAAGACTGATATAAATTATACTATCCTTTTTCAGGAGGTTTTCAAATACAGTGTCAAATGTTCTTTTTGATAAGGTTTTCAGTGATCATGTCTTTTTTTTTCAAGTCTCGTGAAGTCTTTTGTCAGCTTGTTCAGCAAGTCAAAAACCAAGACTCCAAGACTGTTGAAAATATTTCAGTGTTTGTTGGTACTTGGAATTTAGGTAAATATTGAATCAGTTTTACATTATATGACTGTGCAACTTTCTATTAAGATATATTCTGTTTTTATTTGTTTTTGTAATGATCAAAGTTGCCATAGTAGAAACATAATCAAAACACCTAATTTTATAACATTTGTTCATTGTGATAATTCTAGTCTATTCCATAATGTTTAAATTATGCTTCAATAGGGGATGCCAACCCMCCAGAAAACCTTGGAACATGGTTCAAATGTCAAGGTCATGGTGCCACAAGAGATGCTGATGTTGCTAACTTTGCTTTTGATATTTATGCCATAGGAACACAGGTATCTTTTTTGATACATCTTAAATTGTTAACAACTTTCTGTATTGATATCATATGCTTGGTAAGACTATAGACAGTATAGATATTATATTTTAGAGCAGATTTCATATGGCTGTGCAAAAAACATGGTACTTTTGTGCTGTGACTGTACCGTGCCATAGCGGTGATGTATTGTTAATCTTTATTTTTATTTGGAATCCTAGAAGGCGAGGTTCCGTGAACATGCCATGCCATGTCCATGTTGTGATCCGAGTCATATGAAATCCGCTCTAATAGACTATGTACAGTTTGTGAGATGATGATGATAATTAATTTAATATACATGTAAATATATTCAATACAGTGTGATATACAGCATTCAATAATTTATGATTGTGTTTATTGTAAAGGAATGCTCAGTGAGTGAAAACAGTTGGTTGGCAAAAATAAAGAATGAGCTTTGGGATCTCTTTAAGATTGACTTTAAATGTGTAAGTACAAAAATTGTGAAAATATACTGTACAATTGTTGTTTTAGATCATGAAATTATGCTGCAATGTTCTAGCTGTGATCAATATTTTGATAAATAGTTATGTTTTGTTAGATTGGAACTTGCAACCTGTGGGGGATCCGCTTAGCAATTTTGGTTAAACCAGATCATGGAAACTTGATAAGTCATGTTCAGCAATCATCTGTGAAAACAGGCTTGGCAAATGCATTAGGTAAAAAACGATCTCAAATAACCTTGCTCTCTTGTCCGTATCATATAACAGGCCATTCATTTTTGGAAGTTCTGTCTTTGTTTATAGATTTGAAAGGTGTATACCATACACAGTAATTAAAATCAATTTGCAACAAGGACTGTAATAAATAAATGTTTTTTTTCTCTCTCTCTCTCTTGGGAATTGCATATCAATGTTGATGTTCAAATTCCATTCATAATTGTTCTGGTTGTCAGACAGTAATTAAGCTTTTCTCACTCAGCATGACTGCATTGAATCAWTAAGAACTCTGCACTTTACAAATTGACTTGTTGTACTTGGGTAGAATGCTGTAAACATTTTCCCTTTTGATTAGCTTGCAAACAACACAGCAAAAGAAATCCATATCCAGAACAACTAGAACAAAAACAATAGTTCAAAACTAATAATGACAGAATTTTTCTAACTGAAAGATTTGTGTATGAACTATAAATTAATTTATGATAATATGATTATTMAAATGTCTTGTGTTTCAGGCAATAAAGGAGCTGTTGGTATCTCATTCATGTTTAGTGCCACAACATTGTGTTTTATAAACTGCCATCTGGCTGCCCGAAGCACACGTTTGTTGAGGTTTGTTGAATATCAGGTGTCAAGAATCTATAGTGATATGCAATACTGATAAAATCTGATGATAATTTTCCATTCACATTTTTTTACTTATACTAATATCTTTTAAATTAAAATTTGATTATTCCAGTAATTATGTCAATGGAGGTACCTGTCCCATCCTATTTACTATTATTCACTTTTTTCCTCCTTTTCATTATTCATTTATTATGCTTATTTAATTATGAACATAAATTCCCCCTATTACTCGTGCCCAGGCCAATACGTTAAGTGGCACAAGTCAACTCTGTTGTCAGGGTCTASTTTGGGTAAAATTCATACCACTTCATCGAAAATGTTCTTTTCAGGAGAAAACAAAACTACCATGACATTTTAAAGGGCCTAAATCTTGGTCAAAAAAGTGGTTTTGACCTGAYAAACCAGTTCCACCATGTCTTTTGGTTTGGMGATCTCAACTATCGACTAGAAATTGGCATTGAGGTGAGAAACTRTCTTTTMAAAATCAAACATATAAGTGATGAACATGAATAATTCTTTTTCATCAAGGACGCTCTGGAATCAATCAAGAACAATACTCTTTAYAAGATGCGTAAAGCTGACCAACTCTGGTCTGAAATCAAAAAGGGAAATGTTTTCTGTGGTTTTAGTAAGTCATGTTAATACTACTTTTTTATTCTAATAATTCTCATAGATTTTCATAAATTRAAAAGATGTTTTCTAATGATTTCCAGCTTTTACTCATGTATCACAATTGTTCTTTTATGATTGGAATTCATGTCTTTATTCTTTATCAACAGAGGAGGAAACCATAACTTTTCATCCCACRTATCGGCACAAACGTGGCTCAAAAGAGTATGTCTGGGAAAAAGTTAAACGTTCAGGGGTAAGTTTCAGTAATAACATATTGTGATATAGTTCAATTTTTCATGAGGGCAACTAGTGGACTTTGGATAAATTTGGATGAACTCTATAATGMCATTACCTACAGTATATTAAACTGGTTTTTATCTGGTTTATAATCATCATCATCATCATAATTATTAATCTGTTATTATCAGTTTTGTCGTACTGTTGTGCAAAGAGTATCTTATTATTATACAGTATTCTTTTAACCTACATTTCAGACTCTGATAAATGTGCCATCCTGGTGTGATAGAGTCCTTTATCACTCATTCCCTGAGACTAAAATATTCAACACTTCTTATGGTAAGAAGAAAAACAAAACAGATTATCACATTTACTAATTCTGTTTTATGTTGTATTGTAAGTTGTGAATTTATATCAGAGATAKTTTTTGCAATCATATGTAAAATGTTTAGGTTGCACTGATGACATCAGGACAAGTGACCATTGGCCAGTCTTCAGTACATTTGAAGTTGGCATTATTTCGCAGTATGCTGCGTCACCTAGTAAGTGTCTGACAGTAGTATTAATATTAAAAATTATTTTGTTTCAACTGAGCACTGACATTGTTTCTTATTCTAGCTAAAAGCAGTAAAATTAGCCCCAAAGATGAGTGTAAAATAGTGTTTAATATGGTCAGTGCAAAGGTAAGTTTRACAGAAAGGACTGAGAAAAGAATTGTAACACAAATCTCGTTTTCAGCAACTGTTATAAAAAATTAATTTTCTCTGAGAATCTGTCAGATATGCTATTTCAACTAATATGTATTTATGAGCACCGTAAAGTTATAGGTGGTCTTTGGTAATTAGCATAAAATTTAAATTCAAAATGTAAAGTAAGTTCATTTGCCAGAATAACCATCATTTGGCTATAAAGAGACTAAAGAGTACTAATGAGTACCAATGTCTCTTTCAGCCTTGGTCATGTGACTTATTAATTRTGATTTCACTTTACATTTTTTTATGATTTGTTCTCTCCTGTTGTAGATAAAGACAAACAGCAAGCCACAATTTATCATTGAGTTTCATTCAACCTGTCTTGAAAGTAAGATATAAAATATTTATTATGTGTAATATTGTATTGGTGGTTGTCCTTGTCAATAGCAAACTTTATGGTCAAATATAGTTGAATTTGTSTGCATGTAGGTAGATGAAGTCTCCAATGAGTCTAAACTCAACCKACAAACATCTTTTGGACCATATAMATTTTTTTKGTTTATAGGCATGGGGAAGAGCAAACAGAATTCAGTGGTAAAATCAGGTTTAGCTAATGATCAGGGGAAGATAAGTGAAGCTCATCCTCAGTGGAATGCATTTGTACTACCTCAGGTATACCTAATTGTTTTAAAAGTATATAATTATTTTGAATTATTTCTGTTAACTATCATTGATTATTTATTTTTAATTCTATTAGCTTTACCCAATAATACCAGACAGAAATTACCTTCAAGATCAGCATCTATTGCTGGCTGTCAAATCAGTTGAAAGTGATGAATCGTATGGTAAGTGGAATCGTATGATGAATCGTATGGTAAAATATGGTAAAAAACAGGCAAGTAACCAAGTCCAGGAATTGAAGAGASATATTTTTATCRTAGGCGAATGCTGTATTTCCCTTAAAGCAATGATTGCAGACACTTATCAAAAGTTTGAAGCAAAATTGACTCACTCWGGCGAAGAAACAGGCACAATAAGGTGACTTACTTATTACAAAATAACAATATCACTGGAATAGGTTAATTAATATTGTTTATGCTGAGGATCATTGATAAATAATTCTAAAATATTCAACATTTGTGAACCTGCACTCAAAGCAATTATTTCCTACTAGTGGAGAAATGCTTGTCAAAGTCCCAGCAGATGATACAGAAATTGTCAGCCAAAGAGGTAAACTTTCAAGTATACTAATTCTCCATTTTCAAAGCAAAAAACAGCAGTTGCTTGATTTCACAGTAGATTCTCTTACTCAAAGAGCTTACTAAACAAAAAAACAAAGTACAAGAAAATGTTATAAGTACAATAGCGCAAACAATTTACATTAATTTACATAGTTGAGGCTACGGTAACCCTGTATCCCAAAAGGCTTAAATCTTAGGTCTTAGTAAATGGGCCAGGATTCACATAATGTAAAAGAGGCCCAAGATGCCCTCTATAAAAAAAACTGGATACTGCATTTGGTTTGATTTGGAGATTTCAGATCATTTTAATAAATTGCTATGTTTACTAAGTGCATTTGCTATTTTTGGAAATAATCTTKATATTTACCACTTTTACGATATTATTCCATGTTGTAGGGCTTATCAGAGAAGGAGATGAGGATGATGGTGAGTCCCAAGTACATCCACTGTGACCTTACAACCTATAAAATTATTCAATATAATCATGTCATTTCAGTCAGCACAACAACCAAGCCGGCTGGTAAAGTAGGAAAGAATCCTCAAAAACAACCAAGGTAATTTGTATGCAAAATTGTTGACTTCATTCCGAAGCAAACATTATTGAATTGCATTGAAAATTGGTTTGTTTTAGATACAGCCTTTCAGTCAAAGATAGAAATCCAGCACCACTACCAAAACCGAGACCAGCTTCTCATCCTAAAGTAAGCCAACAAGTGTACAATTTTGTACAATTATGTCACAAGTTATTTTATTTCTGGGATAAATCAGCTGTTTGTTATTCTTTAGTGTAAGCTTTTATTTTTAAGTCTGCCTTTGCATAGGCAATATAATATTATGAAATTGGAGTGAAGTGCAAGAATGATATCATTCATATCAAATGAATTAGTTTCCATCCAACCTTTCATTATTGCAGTTYRCTCCAATATCATAATAATTGAAAAYGCAAAGGCAGACTTAAGAAATAAAATTTTTACACTTAAATGCCCTATCATACCAAAACCACTTCTATTACAACTATTCATAATGCACTGATATCTGAAGAAAAAGGAAGTGACATTTATGGTATTATCAATGTTTTAACAGGTTGAAAGCAGTTCTCCTCCGCCACTACCTGCTAAGGTAAGTCTTCTTCATGTAATGATAGAATAAATTGTGATAATAGTCTTAATGTAATGGTCGTGATTTTGTTGATGGGTAATAGTAATAGGTATGTATGAGACAGTGATAGAGAATGGTGATAAACAAGCTAGAAGGAAGAAAAATTTGATTTCAGATACCATCAGTAATTATACTAGAAGTAGTGCGCCCTCAGCTGCCTGCATTATACCTAAGAATGCTGCGTGCCTCAGTAATTATCTATTAAGTAATGCAGCCAGTAATTGATCATTATTTTATTGTAGAATCGGCCACCAAGTGTAATGGATTTGCTCAAGAGAATAGGRTATCCTCAATTTCATGATATTCTTGTTCAAAATGGCTTTGATCACGTGGATTTCTTGAAAGATATTTCAGAATCTGATCTTAAAAATACAGCAGTGCCAGAGCATGTTCGTAAAAAGGTATCAAACAAAACYGCTATTCTTCAGTAGCATCWTTTCTTTGTGACTTTTATTTTGATGTTTATAATGCCTCTATAGGCTGCAATAAATGGCACTAATTCCTGCACAATATTTCAAAATACTGACAATAATATTATATATTATGTTTAATTCCAGCTTGTTACATCAATACAAGCAGTTGTCAAGAATCAWTAGCCAAAGCAATGCAGAACGATTTATGATAACAAAACAGGCAACAGAGGCACTGAGTGAGCAAGTTTCAGCGGCGGATTTAGGGGTGGGCCGAAGGGGCCGCAGCTCCCCCTTTTTCTTGAAAAAAAACTTAACAAGATCCTTGTCAATATCACTGAAAATGCTGGAGATTGCATTTTTGACCGTTTAAATTTCAAAATTTTTCGGGGGAGCATGCCCCTGGACCCCCTATATATTCCCACCTTCGGAGGTCAACACAATGCAAAACCATTTTAAGTAACCGGCCTCCTCTTTCTAAATATTCTGGATCYGCCCCTGAGTTTTAGTTCTCTAAGAAAAAGCACTTGGATTTATTAGGAAAATCTCCTACAGCCTCTGATATACATAATTATAGATTCTATTACAATTTATCATAATACCTTCTAAAGGACGATGTTGTTGAACATAATATAGACTTCAGTTCCTTATTAACTAGTATCATAAAATTCTAAAAAAAAATTGGGGGAGATATTATATTTTTGTAAGGGGATATTTTGTTTAGAAAAGTTCTTATGTATAGCRATGCTCACTGTGAYGTAAGACTTTGTTGTTCATTTGCCAACCAGAAGACGATTGGATGTTAGAACAAAGCGACTTGTGAAAAGCCATTCTGACCATGGTTGGCAAATTAACATAAGAATGAGTTTGTTGATAAACACTGTCAGAGCATCGCTATAAGGGAAACAACTATTTACATGGAGCGAAATTTGACAGGTTGGACATGCTTGGTTTTATAGATAAAGAGTCACTTTTAGAATTTTATGATAACTTTAAAGTTTTACCATATTGAGATGCTGGCCTGCCTGTTAGAAGTAAACAGGCTGCCCACAAAAAAGATTGTGTTGATATTAGGTTTTTGTCTTTTTTGTTATAATAATTATTTACTATAGTTATTATCCACTGCACTAGTAGTTTGTAGTAAAAAAAACKACTTACCAATAGCCTGCTGGCATTAATGTTAATTTTGCTAAATATATAATTTTCAATCTAGTCTTTTTCTATAAATATTTACTATTTTTTTACCAAAATACCCAGATATGTAAAAAGATGATATAGATGAATAAGTCACAAATATATTTTTGTATTAATAAGCACTAGGCAATTGAATTACCATGACAAAATGTATTAAATTTTAAAAATTTGTTTTGCTTTGATTTTGATAGAATAACAGATAATAATAAACATGGAGCTCATGAATATAAAACTAATAAATTAAATTTTATTAATAAAAACCTGAAATGTATATCTGCGTGTTTTTGTAAATGTTGTGTTAATTGCTGACAATGTCACCATTTCATTTCTATAATTATAATAACTTAATGGGCCAATCAAATCTGCTAGACTTGGTAGCAACTGTCATCTTTGCATCACCATCATGAGATTCTTGTCATGTCCTACCCCACACTAGATTACAATGTAACAACATAACACAAAATTTTCCACTGTTTTTGTGAGCCTGTCTTACTGTTGGTCAGCTGTTTTACACAATGCCACTCGTGTCTTGCTCCTTTTCTGTGTTTTCAACATCTTGTATGTTGGATACCAAGTCATGTGAGGYTTGTTCCACTGGTGTGTCATCTTGCACATAACGTTCCCTCCAGCAATTCCTCCATCCTTTTTTAGTCATGGAGTAAATGGCTTTTCCAAGGAAAACAGCTCCCAAGATGTAAAAATAACTGCCATACACCACAAACTAAAACAATAAAGTTGTGCTGAATTATCACTTTCATTAGTAGTCATTACTCATTACTGAATTACAATAGATATAATATAGCCATTCAGTTATAATGGCCATATTTGTAGTCTCCTTTGCAGCCCAGGAAGCTGATAAATGGAGAGGCTGCAAAGGAGACTAGTATATTTGTTTTAAATGCTGGCCAATTATAACATCCAGGTTTCCCGGTGGTTGTCTACTGTCTTTAYAAGAGTGGCATTAAGAAGAATATGTTGGATTYAATACCTGTGTGACTGCATTTAGCCCTAGTCCTCTCTCATCCACTACAATGCTTGTTAAAATGGTCTGAAGCAACAGTGATATAAACATGTTGCAACCAAATATCAAGGCATAACGAGTCATGGAGACATTTTTGGCAATCTGAAAACTAAAGGAAATACTTTGTTAAAAATAGGTGCTGAAYTATTAATAAAAAATTAATGTTGAAAATTACCTTGCAATCACGAYTACAAAGGTGTATGCCACCCTGAACAGTATATACATCAAGTAAGCCAGCCAAATGCTTGAAGTACCTGCGCTGATATATAAAACTACACYATCACAGATGCTAACAATACCAAGAGACAGTTCCCCAAATACAGACCAGTTGACTTTCCAGTAACTTAGCAGCATGGCAATACAAGTACAGAAAAGATGAGATACGGCAGTAACACCACCATTGTAAATTTTCTTATGGAGACGGGAAGGGTAGATGATATCCCATAGATTGGATGCATAGTTTTCGACTTGAAACTCACCACAAGTTCCAAATGCCCACCATAGYGACCACTTGAGAAGCTCTTTGTTMGAGTAACACTCCTTCATATCTTGCAAAATGGAAAGCATTGAYTGTTTCCAGGAAATGAAGCAATTGGTGCAGCATGATGGTCGCCTTGATGGCTCAATTGTACTGTATCCATGGTTACCATCTCCTTGGTAACTGTCTCCATGACAATGATCCTCAGTTCCAGTCGTCATTCTGTGTGAAGTTCCAAAAACATTCCCACCGGCTGATGGCAATATAAATGATACAAAAAGTGCAATGCTTACACTGCCAAGCGATATATAGTTCAATGTCAGATATCCAGCTATTTTAAAAGAATACAGTGATTGGCCTACAACGCCAGACATCATTCTCCCCACGAGAACTGTAGCCCTGGTAAAACCTGTGACTTTACGAAAGTGTTCTGGTTGTACTACCGTATATATGTATGAATAATAAGCAATCTCAGCCCCCGTGGCAACACCGTAGACAAATTGCATCATCTGCATGGTAAAGACCCCTGTACCCCATATCAGCAGCACTCGTGTAGCAACRTAGGCAAATCCCTCAATGATGATGACAGGTTTGTACCTTAGAAAATCCGTAAGTAGGAAAACGAAAAACAAAGTTACAAGGTACGAGTACGTCCATACTGGATACACTTGGTTGTCGACTTGCTCTTCACTTAGATTTTTATAATGAGGAGACTTCAAGTACGCTGTGAGAAACGGTTCTGAAGGTTTCATCTCTTTGAAAAATCCATACAAGCAGAGCAAAAGAGTAGCTTTTTGCCAGCTTTGAAGCGCCATCTTAGCCAACGTGGTACAAAGATCATGTGATTAACATGTTACAATAGAAGAAAAAAATCTGGCCTCCAAAACCTCAAACAAACATTTGAATGTCTGCCAGATCACCAGAGGAAGTCTCGGAGAGGAAGTGAGGTAAACCGCATTTTGTTTTGAGCCTGCGATACACCATAACAAATCATTCCTTCAAAACTACGGAACGGGAGTGGGGTAGTGTGAAAATCTGCTCCATCGGKAGAARGATGATATTGCTATAACACACTTATCAAATACAGAGAGAGTAGCACTTAGAAACAGAAATGATCAAATTGACATTTCATATTTTTGAGTTGTGTGCTTTGTAAATTGAACAAAGAAACTGAGTAATTCAGATTACTGTCCCTCCCCCTGTAGGTTATATCTGTATTCAATCATGCTGATTCACATCTAGAGCTAGGTCTTCTTAATTCCCCGAAAACCCAGAGTATTGTGTAAGTAACCAAATACYTAACAATATTCGCTTTTGGTTTCTTGCAGTAGTGATCGTTCTTTCGATTGGATCGAMGGAAGCCTGCGTTTCTCGGCCTCTCCAACTCACCATTAAATGGTATTAACAGGTGACTATTTCGAATTGTTTCATCATGTAAACTTYGATTTTGTCATAAAATACTCCACTGAGTTTATTATTTGCCAGTTTGTGTTAACTTGAGCCTGCGATACACCAAAACAAAGCACTTCGTTCAAAACCACCGAGGGGTGGTGGCAGGTGATAATCTTCTATATCATGAAAAGATGATGATACACTCATAAAAGAAATAAAAAGWGACTATAGAAATAGTAGTGTGCAAATTAACATTTGATACATTTGGCATTTGATACACAATAGGACGAAGGAACGAAGTAAATCATAGTGAGWAAATGAATAATGATATACACCCCTGTCCCTCCCCCTATGGGTACATTTGTCATTCAAGTATGCTGAGAAGATGAAGTGTTTTTGACTGCTATATCGATCAGATCAAGATGGCGAAGAATTGTTCCTTGTTCCCCGAAAACCCAGAACATTGTGTAAGCAGCTAAATACATGTTATGTATATTTGTTTTTTGGTAGTCATTAAGTGTAATTGTATAAGCTTAAATCGATTAATTATTGTTGTTTTAGACGACGATTGTAGCAGTGAAAAGAGTGCTTGCCGTTCTGTCGATGGTTGGATGGTAATAGATTGTTTCGAATTCTTTCATCAAATATTCCAYTAAATGCCGTTATTATAATGTGTTTGGGTTTTGATTCAACGACATTAATAAATTTGCGATTAGTCTGTTGTCTTTGTAAACTTAGACAATCGTTTATTCATTGGTTTTGTCAACAGTAAGCTTCCTTAACTTCAAGGAAACTCGATTCTGACAAAGCTGCCGAGCTTGCAAAATAACCATTCTCAGAGAAAGGATTTGTTAAAAAGGATTTTTTTAAAAGAGTTATTTATTTTCCATTTTGCTATGTTGTTTCAATAACGGAAGACACTGATTCGCTCGTTAGTGCTATCTCAGTCAAATATGATTTTGATAAACTGTCAAAAAGTGATAAATGGTGTCGATGACAACCATGCATAATTAATATGCATTTATACAACTCAGTAAATATACATTGATATGCAGACTTGGTTGAACAGAGATGCAGATGATTGCTACATGAACCTTTCTTTAATGCACATCTCAWTAATAACAAAACTCTTATGATAGTATTAAATAGTTACACGATGCTAGCAGATGCTGATATACACATTGCAATATATTAAGGAGAAAAACTGGGATTGCATGTGTTAAATTTACTTTTCACTTTTCAGCTTATTCATCATTTTTRTAATATGGCTTTTCAAGAAGTACAAATATTTTGCTCAAGTATGTATCATTCTTACTATTTTTCCATGCAATACAAAATCTCCTCTAATGTCAATGAATGACAGAGTAAAATGTATCATACTCTATCAAATGCCAGCCAATATCTGCCGTCCAATATCTATTGTTGTTCAAAGTAATATGGATTTTTTAATGCATTAAAGCCATTGAAATGTCCTCATATCACAGGATGTAATCTACCCAGTTATGTTATTATACATCAGTGTTATCTAAAACACTTTTCATGAAAGTAATCTGAAATACCCTAGATATTAATTTTTGTTATGATCCAAAAATGTTGGGTAGTGCTGATAAATTTTCCCTATTTGGCTGGGATTAAAAATGAACTCTAAAAAGTGATCTAATTTCAGTTTCTCCTTTTTATACAGAGGCTGATCCTAGCTTTGAGCATTGCTGCCTTCCTGGATGTAATTTCTTTTTTAATGGTAACGAAATTAAATTTGCTTCACTTGACTCACAAACCTTAATATTTTCCTTGAATATGTAAGCTGACACATTCCCAAATCACAAATTGATAATAATCGTATAATTAAATAACAATCGATACTTGCATTGTAGGGTGATCTTCATCCTAAGGATGGACCAGCTTGTGTCTTTCAAGCTTGGTGGCTGTCATTCTTTGGTAAGAATTTGCTTTTGTTGAGATCCCTATGTTAGTAAACATGACAATATTAATTTACATGTAGATGAGGAGACATCAGAGAATGAGACTGATATTAACTATATTCTAAAGGATGATTGTCTGTTAAATAATTTCAGATTTTTCTGTATTGCTGTGGGTGAGCTGCATCACATTTAATCTGTATTGGAATGCAATAAAAAATACCAGAACAGAGAAATTTGAAAAGTAAGAAAACAGATTAAAAATTGTTATATAGGGAGACTGTTTTCCTCTACTAACAATGCATAGGCAATTTCGTTTGTGCATTTTCTAAGGCAGGTGGGGTTCCTGTGTGATCATTCTGTGCACAGGAAGCCCAGAAACAAGGAGGAACTAAAGGAGTTGCCTGCATAATGAATTCATTTTATTTGAATCATTAATTATTCTGTTGTTTATCGCATAGAGAAGGCATGTATTTATTTTCTATTGAAAAAAATGAATTGTTTATTATTGACAGGTTGTACCATTTATGTTCATGGGGTATATCACTTATCATGGCGTGTATTCCACTCTTTGGCAACCGTTATGGACCTGCTGGAGCTTGGTGGTGAGAACACAAAAAAATATGGAAATGTCCCATCTATTTTCCACTCAGTCATTTATTCATTAATTCTTGCATCCACTTAACTTTTATTTTATATGAATTGTTTCATTTGCTTTCTTTAAAATGCTTTAATGTGCTGTTTTTACACATGCAGCTGGATCAAACGAAACATGCCTAATAGTACTGTATGGAGAATGATGATGTAAGTCAGCTATGATTTTGGTTATTTGCAGCATTTTACAAAAATTCTGTAAAAACTATGAATAAAGATATATTTTAAAGCAAATGCCATGRTGGATYCAGAAATTTACAAGGCMATGTCCCCTAGTTTGCATTTAGACGTCATGATACTTCAATCCCTGATATATTGATGCTATTCACAGGTGGTATGTTCCATTGTTCATCATTGTGTTTGCCATGTTTGCTGTGTATATATATATCTTTGTGGTCTATAGACGACAGGTCAGTAATAATATTTATAGTGGCACTGACTGCAGCCTCAGGAGCTAGATGCTTCTACCTGCTTTAAATGAGTTTGGGTTGGAAAATTCCGACAGAAGTTCCTTAACATTCTGAGCCCAAACTCATTCAGAGCTGCTAGGGACRCCTAGCTATGCAGGCTAAACTGACTGATGATTGTGAGAGTTTTGCACAAAATTCTCATTAGACTTACATACCTGTGGTCCTCTACACTATGAATGTTTATATATAAACAACAAATTTTCCTCTGCTCCAATTGGTTTGGATTTAACCATTCTGCAGATGGGCATAATAGGGCATAACGCCCTCAATTCAACTATTCTATTGTTCAAATATTGTCAAGTTGACTTATCATTATAGCAAGTTGACTTATTTATTCATAAATTTTGTTTATTTGTCTACAGGCTAAAACCTGGGCGGGAACCTATAATGCTGAAGATGAGCGCAATAGGGTAAGGTAGTTTGGTGTTTTTCTTCCTTTCTGTACTTCTTACTACTCTTAGGTTTCTTGTCTCAATCATATGACCAAGATAGATGTGGCCCACAAGGAAAATATCCTTATAAGGTCCAAGTCCCCAACTTGGCCAAGAAGATATCAGAGGGAGTTCAAATGACATAAAGAAGCAATGCTTTTTGAGGAGGCTATGCTTTATGAACATACAATAAACAATACTTTTTTGGAGAACAAAAAGACCAAGCTCAACTGAACTGAAGTTGTTTTGCTTTAGCAAGCAAAATAGATTGTACCTCTTATGCAATGAGACATTACTTGGTAATAATTAATAATTGTAGGCCATGATGAAAGAGCATGTCAAGCCGCTAATGGCATACCCATGTATATACTTGGTGACGTCAATATTTCCATTAGCTCACAGGTAGGTATTTGCTTCATGACCATAMCGTTATTTAATACTCTATGACCTAAGCATTCTTGATTATTTAGAATCTACAATGCAACTTCTTCTACTCCTAATTTCCCTCTACTACTCCTTCATGTGATTTCCAATCCTTTAGCAGGTATGTAAACATTATAATGACAAATATTGTGAATTACTAATATTATATATTAATAATATTATCCTTACATCTTTATAATCAATTCAGGGGCGCTTTTTGCCATTGTATTTGGTATGGACAAGGAGACTTTTAGCCGGCTCAACTGGCCACAAATGAAGGTTAGAACGMCAAAAAGATGAGTTTGTGGAACGTTTTTGATGAGGSTAGAAAACGGATGAAAAATGCCAGATAGTATGGTGAATTTTTAAAACAAATCATCTCGTCATTCTTTGCAGCTTGCTTTTGCTCAACATTCCCGCGCAAGRAAACCTTTGGTCAGAGAATATCCTGTGGGCGATACTACAGAAGTTCGTCCTAAYGACGACTCATCGTGGTCATCTACGTCATCAGAGTCTCCACCAGTCCCTCCCCAAGAATCTGATATCACACGTCGTGACACTGGTGCAGTTACCACTGAAGATTCTACGGCAACTGGTTCAAATATAAAATCAGATTAATGGAGTTAGTAGCTTGGAAAACACGCACTCTGCGTCTTGTACGTCCTATGTCTACTACTGAGGAACGTCTCCTAAATTGACACCTCATATTAACACTTCCTTAATGCAGACACTTTTATATAATGGATTATTCTCAAAATATGGACTGTCCACCTCCAAAATATGGAGGCTTCCATACCTATTGCAAACATTGCAAACACCAAAATACGAACGTTTCCATCCCAATCACGACTACCTCGACCACAATACCACCCAGTAATGCGGTCACCTTTAAGGAAAGACATTACACGGTCATCGTTGGTAGGAAAAAAACTCCTTAATTTCGTACACTGACGTTGTTTCTGATGGTTTCTTGTCAACATGTAGTTTGCAACAACATCAGAAGATTACATTTACTGAATAATGCAAGATRTCAAGATTTTTTTACTAGCATTATACAAGCTAAAAAATCATTAAAAGTAGAAATGGATTGAGTTCCTACGCACGGACCTTGAAGTCAGGGCGGGGCTCAATTTCCCAATTCTAACAAAAAACCTTTCGTGTAAAAGTTTTGCGAATAAATGACATAAGCGAACTGAATAGTCAAGAAAAACTAAAGTTTTATTCTATGTACTTTTTCCGACAATTTCGTATTACAGATGTATTCACAACAGAAGGCAGATAGTGAATGGTTGTTAACTCATTAAATTAATGTAAGGTATGCATAAAAGTACAGTCAAAACATGGTGGATTGTCAATAAACTCAACATTACACTTTTGAAGGATTTTCCGTGTTTTCATAACTTATCAGCCATCCGACTGACGCGAGCACCGAATAATATACCCCCACCCACCCCACCCCGAGACACGCTGCTAACGTTGTTCAAAAAATATTATTTTCTCTGAGCACTATTTTATCCATTACCAGATCCTCAAGTACCAAGCGGTACTTCAGAGAAGTAGTTGACAGTTGACAACGMGCGCACGACCTGGGAGCTTGTAAAATCAAACCTTTCCCATCGTACATAGCTATACTTCAAATCCAGGGGGTAGATTTTATGGCCGTATGAACTACGGTTGATTGCAAAACAACAACAAGATTATATGTCTGTATCCGCATGACATTTTCATTTATCATCTTGACATTTTTTCTCTTTTTTTAACAAGATCATATTGCAAACGTAATCGAGGTGATATCAGAATTCACTCGAATTTTAGGACAAARGATTCAAGGTCAAGAGAGTCAGTCGATTGTGCACAACTGTCTGAGGGCCTTAGATTACACCAATAGATTTATCTAATTCGCTGACAGCACAGCCGGAAAGCAAACCATTATAATGCATCCGAACATTAAATCTGAGCATTGAAATGGTTTCCCAAATTCTAATTSTCATTGGGTTCGAATCCATATTGCCATCAAGCCGGGAGAGTCATGTGATTAGTTTTGATAGGCCAGCTGTCTGCTATGAGTTGGTATAAGAAGTTAACACCACAGCGCGATCGCCATCCAACAGAGCAGTGTACAGTGTGTAGATTTGATTTATTTTTAGGACGCGGTCAGTGACCAGAGCCTTCAGACAAMTCATAGATATGAAGACATATCGGGTTTCAAGCCGAGGGAATACCATCAGAAATTTTTGAAACATGCCGGTTACATGTTTGCACATTGACATGAATTTCCTTTGCTACGGTTCTTCCTCTTATTACAATGGTAGTTTGTGGGTATAAACAAGGAGAACTTAAATCATTGTGTGTCGCTAGCTTTTTGTAGTCTGTTGGAATCAGAATTTATGATGGCTACAGGAGATAAAACTAAACACATTGGCTTTATGCCTCAGTGCAAGGTAAGCATGGTATTTGTCATCATCGTTAATTGCAGTCAGCTCTTCATAACTTCGTTACATGCACCGGTACCCAATGTACCCGAATTAATCGTCACTTGATATTTATAGTGTTTCTCCACACTCTTCATRAGTGTTTAATGTTATGTGTTTGTGGAAGAAATGTGGTACAGGAGGCAATTAATCGTCTTCAGCCCTTCAATGTACAAAGAAGCTCTACTGATTGTACCTTTAAAGCCTTTAAAATAACTGTAATAGTACTCCTCCAGCTCTCATAACCTGAAAGGCTGTGAATTTACCCAATTCCCTGTAAATTAGCTGTTTACGAAGATAAGAATCGAATCACTTTGTTGAGTTGAAAGTGAATTTCACTTAACYAGACAATGGCTAGCTAACATGTGCCAGGCGCGTGGGGTAACCCAGCTAGGTTTACTTTCCAAAGTAAGCTTTCTGACAATCAAAAAACTCAAGTTCTTCACTAATATTAGAAGATCAGTCATCTTGAGTAACCGAATTGTGCAAAATAAATAGCAAAAGGAACTTTGAATACAAGATATGTTTAATCTAATGTTCGAATGAAAATCTTTAGGTACATAATAGTTGGAACGTTTTCAGTTTACATGCGGTATTAGACGCACAAAATGCAATGATTACACACTGATGGCACAAATTAGCTTTTTACTCGGCAGCAAAAGTCAATTGTAAGGGGCAAAATTTAGGCCTGAAGGGAATATAAATATGTTGTGATGTTTGATGTCTGGCTGATGTCTAGTTTTTATGCAAAACGCTTGTACAAAAGCGGTACCGACAAAATCGCGTGAGTCGAAAATTATTTGCGTGTCGGTTGTAGGAGGCGTTTGCAAAAAAATCAATACACCTCACGCTATAAACATCATTCCTTCGGGTAAACTGAAAAATATAGTAGACTGCAGATCAGATAATTTGATACTACTGTATCCAAACACAATGCAAAAGATCAAATATTACAACTGTCAATACAATGTTTGCCTCTTCWTCAAAACATACAATGCGTGCTGGTTTTTTATGGATTCCTTACCCTGAGATGTTTTTTTCTTCCTTTTGGCAAACATTAATTGTGATCCATAGTCTGAAAAATACTCTAAATGTCTTGTACTGCTATATATAACAATACTGGGTTATATATAGAGCTGAGGGTCTCGGTAATGAATCAGGCAAAAACTAATTAAAAAGATTAGTTTAAGATTTTCAATAGTTATTTGTCGGGATGGGATAYTGTAGGTTTTTTTAAGTCTCACCATGCAAAGCTAACAATGACATAGGTAAAAATAAATCGACCTCGATGGACAAAGACAGGCAACCATCAAATCACAACCCAGCCAATCTGCCAAAGGTCACAAGGTATATACGCTCACAAGCCTTGATCAAACGTTCGTATTCGATAGCTTGAAAGACTTTTAGCATTTTCATCAACATGGATTTTTATCCTGTACAATAAGGCCATTACTTCTAAAGGGCGTGGCTTGGACCCAGTGTCTTGACCGTTTACATAAACGGAGCCACGCGAGAGACTCAGTTACAGAGCGTCTACTAACGTGAAGAAAAGAGCTGTGAGTTTGCCAAAGGTATTTGCTTATATGATGGATTTTCAGGTCATTTTTATCTCTTCAAGGTTTTTTGTAATCAGTTTTGTATCTCTTATCGTTCTCAGATGTGCCAGTGTGGACATACAATCGTTGTTTTGTGACAAAATTGCACGCTAATGCTTAGCTGGTGATAGCGAAATGTTTGTCCACGCTTACATTCGAATAGATACACTAGAGCTGGCTGTACTGTTAGCTTTAAGAAAGATGATTTGAATGTGAGCAATATGTTCCTTTAATTGGTCTGATGTTAGTAGAGTAAGGGTGTAAAGACGCACCGCTTACCGATAGTTTCAGGACTTAACTTACCAGGAGGAGTTTTGTTCACGAAGGAATACTTCGTATATTTCGGGCAGTAATGCTTTACAATGGGATGCATTTATTTCCTATTGTCATCTSTAATTGTTATAATTTAGAAAGGAAGGCGTTAAACACATTTGCCGATGTTAACATCATTTACAGCATTTGGTGAAATCCCATGAATAGCCATTAATGGTGATTCGCTTCCATTACTAGGCGAAGAAATACCGGCAAAATTTGCCTACTTGTGCTAAACAAAATGCACGCTTAAAAGCACAGTTCAAAAAGCACTAACAAATCGATGCAATCTCAAGGTAACCTCACTTTTCTTGAATATATATCGATACTGCATATTTCATTACCAGCTTCAGCATTACTGCACATAAGACTGATATTTTGTTTTATACGAATGGATGAGCTCAAACGATTTCTTTCAAGACGGGAAAATAGTATTTTTAAAACACCATAAATATTATATATTAGATCATATCTGAGGGTTGAAAACCTAGCAGGRGCTGTAAGAATATTTTCTATCTAGCAATAAGGTCATGTCGAATAGAGTTCAGCCACTTATACAAAATACTGAAGCTTACCGTCTCTTCCATGGGATATTCCCTTAAAAAGAAKCGAGRTTTTAGCGCAGTTCTCAAAAATAGAGCTAAAATCAGTTTGGGTTGGGGCAAGTYCTCATRAATAAAGGAACACGATTCATCAATTTAACATTTGCAAATGTAAGAGAGCATTCTAAACTAAACTGTCTGCAAAATGTAATTTCTYTGTAGCTGTGCCTGAATACTTAGTCTTTGGGTCAAGATGTGGTTGGAAAATCTTTCTATATTASTTTTAAGCTAAATCAAGAAATGTGTAACTAGGCAATGTTTTTTTTTTTCAAATTCACTAAAGTCTTTTATTGCAAGAGTCCACAAGAGATGGCCGTTTCCACACGAGTCGAAGGAGTGCGAAATGAGAAGCATTTTTTTGTAGGATAAGTTGATTCATAACAGCGTTAAAAGTTCAACCAAGTCGACAATTGATGCTAACATGTTAACTGCTATTAAAGCAGTAAATCTATTTGCAGACCTGGTACAGAAGATCTTTCACCATAAAGCACCACTCACTAACAATGGCTGCCAATGTCGTGCAACATGTGCAAATACCATCTTTCCTGTTTCAAATAGTCAAACAAGCACAAACATTCATCCCAAACAAAAATTACTTAGATTAAGGTGTCCAAAAACATGGAATTAGTAGAAGAATAAGTAACAGTCTACCTACATTTATTTTAGGTCAGTATTTTTGGGAAGATATTGTCAAAATTGAAATTCATCATGGGTGGTGGACGCGGAATGATGATTCATACTTGGGAAATGAGCAGCATCTTACATGGAAGAAAGAATGCCATAATGTTAGTTTAATAGTGTAACAGTTGCAGTTACAGTTATAACACCATGTTATATGCCATGCTATGTTGGTGTAGTAGGGGAAGTTTGAGCGTGAATAAAAGCAACTTTAACTGACACTGTTTGTAACAAAGCAACGAACCAAGGTTTAACAAGCTTTCTGGATTCTTACATGGATGGTCTATGAAAGTGATTGAATTAAAGTTTTTTTTGGCAGCTTCAAATGAGATATACTTTTGTTGGTTGTTTGTTAAGAGAGTATGCAGAAMGTTAGTGAGTTCAGTATAATATGATGTAATGGCGCACAAAAGTAGTTTCTTTATTTCTCAAGAGACTATCCCAAGGAATCAGGCAATGCTAGCAAAATATATTGYTATTGTAAGGCTACCTAGTGGAGACTACACCAGAATGTGCACTCAGTAATAATGTTCAGCGCAAAAAAGGATTCAGCAAGGACTTTGATCTCGTGGATAAGATTGATAGGTCTGCGTTTTAGGAAGTATGCATCTTCGATGTTCGTTAGTWTTAGGTACTGAAATCTAAATCTGATTGAATTAACCGATTGTAATAGTTCACAAATGTAATACTTACATTAAACTAGAATAATGCCGAAAAGAAATGAGAATAGTAGAGACAAATCAAGAATATGCCCAGTTCAATGTTAGTTTAAGATCATTAATTCACAGACTGTATGGAGTTCAAGCGGCATTTCTACCTCAATGCACGATGCATAACTAAGCCGAACGAATAACCAAGCTAAAATTATTGTAAAGATAGAGAAAGCAATCTGCGGTACGTGTTCTTTGAGAACAGTTTGCAAAATATACTCAAAACGAAGTATTTTCATTGTATAAGACATTAATTCCAGCATAATTCAATCGGTCTTTGTCTTAAGTGCGCTAAGTACAAGAATAGCAGTAGTTCTAGACCCTCTCGAGCCCTCTTACAAGATGCTTCAATGGTTAATATGTGTATGAAACAAGAAGTTCTTTACTACTTTCCTTGGAGTGGCTGATGTGATACTGGCCAAACAAAAGATTGGAACAGCTCATAASAGTTTCTTTTTCTATGCATTTTTACTAAGAAACAAATTAAATGTAGTTTTTTTGAGACACTATAACGGTGTCGTCCCTATCTTTGCCTTCACCACTAAGAAGATTAGAATAATTATGGTTGACAATCAGTATCRGTTAATTGTTTGGTTTAGAGTTTTATTGATTAAATACAGCAAGGGCGTGAATTGCAACATCCGAACGAAAAAGAACAACAAATGATTAAGATCTAAAAAACAACTTGGAGAATTTCTAATTTAAACATCTAAAACTATTTAATAATATTTGTTTGGACTGCATTCGATTACTTATCAAATTTGTGGAWGCTCAAGTGATGATAGTTCAGCATATTCATATAGTGATTTTCATTTCTTAGTCTTAAAAAAACCCRCATGTTAATATATTTTTACACTCATTTGATTTTTACCAATTTATCTTTGCATTATAATAAGTTTATCGATTTTTTTCTTCTGATTTCTTAACAATCTTCAAGCATCATTTCCGGAAGCCTTACCTGTTTCCAAGCCTTTTTCAGTTCTACATCTACATAGGAAAGCCAAACTGATATTATTTTCGAATAGGACATATTAACAATTAAAAATTATCTATAAGTATTATTTTTAAGTCGTAGATCTAAAGTTAWTTGTCTTCGACTTAATGAAATGGGTGAATAGTAAGACTGAAGGTCCCCTACATGGTATATGACATGACATCTAATATCCAATCCATGATTTATAGAACATTCTAATTTGTATGAAATATCCATTAAGAATATTTTAGATTTTATTGCTTTTGGAATGAATTGGTAAGCAGAAACTGCACCATTCGATAGACGAAAAAGATTTGTAACTAAGCTTAGATAATGGGATCATTTCTTTCTTTTTGAAGGGGGCTGTGTCAACAGGATCTGGAAACAATCGTGTGGTCACGTGGCCTGATAGCTTGGACTGAGCACAARCGACGCTAAAACTACACAAGATATCTTGACTTCAGCACAAGAAAGAATTAGCTGATTTACTTTCTTTTCTTGTATGTTCTTAATGTCGTCTGCAAGTTTTATTTCGAACGTTTGAAGAATGAACTCGTTTAAGAGGGCCTTTATTGGATTCTTGAGTCACCAGATGCTGCAAGACTTTGGAAGATCAACGGTTTAGCCCTTGAAAARTTACTTTCCTTCTAAGGAACGGGTAACTGACTTCAAATTGGAAGACAACCGACATCTTGAAACTGCTCAGCAATTATAGAGAGTGGAATTTACAGAGCAGCTTGTGAGAATGACTTATTTCTCTGRCTTGCTTCAGTATCAATTGTCGCCGCTCACTAGTTCCTTTTGGTACCTCCGTGTTGAATGCAACATTTGCCGATTCGTTTTCTTTTCAAGACATCTCGTGGGCGAACTTATAATTGTTTATCTTTATCAGATTTATTATTTTTTTTTTTGAAAGCTGTCGTTGAATGAGTCGTTAGTTGTACACTGAGCGAGCATGCATGCATGTTCAGCCGTCACGATGAACTCAAATCCTCTTTTTGTTTTCTCAAAAAATCGATTATTATTTTACTTTTAATCGGCTTAGAAATACGAATATGACAACTACGTCGTTGACATACTACTATTTGCTTAATTTTCAGGGGTAAAAGGAGTCATAAAGASCAAAGCTGATTCGTCGCCCAAAGAAATGAGAACTAGTGTTTTGAGTGTCTTGTCGACCCGTAGATCCGAACTTGTGGTTTTTAGTTCCCCAAGTTTCGGTCTACGGAACGAAAATTCACTTAATGACAATGTGATGTCTTACAATCGTTACAGCTCATCCAGTCATGTGAAACTTACGGCTACGAGGGACGATGAAACTGATGAAAGCGCATTTGCTTGCGGAACGCCCTGATCTAGAGATATTATTAGAGTAAGACAAGACACTATATAATTGTACAAAAGTCAGTTGTTAATATATATATAGCACCTGAATAAGAAGATCTTAAAGTATAGAAATATTGAATAAGGGTGCAAAAAGTTTATTTTTTTRTCCATCCACACTAAGTTGTTGTCCACGTGTCAAAGTAAAGCATCAAACGCTTTTGGATGCACAAGAGAAATATACCTCACTGAATTCATCTCTGATCAACTTGGAATAAGCATTTCCATTTMAAATTGTTTTTATCAATGAAAGTATTTGTTTTTGAGAGTGAAAAGCATCAGAAAGCTTAGAAAATAAGCCGAAAAGCTGGTGATGCAAGAGTCAGTCTCGATAATGGTTTAAAACGGTATCGATACTGAAGAATTAAAGAAGCCAACTTCCTTACCATTTAATAGAAAATAGATCATACATATTGTGTATAACTCAAGTTAATTTATTATAACTTTAGTGATAAGAATATATAAATAAACTTTGTTGAAAAGCTATATGAATAATGTTGTTTATTCAAACCGCCGGTTTTGGTAAAAGAATTAAGGATGGTCAATAACTGGAAGCTTATTTCCTCATCAACTTTATGAGTTGTGTGAAAATGCTTATCTCAAAAAGTACAAAACTCTTTAGTCTGGGACACCATCTCATGCATGGTCGGACAATAAAACTTTGGCCTTATGTTCGTCAAAGTAATKAATGATTTCGCATTTCTGAAGGGAAAATGTCTCGTGTCTGGRATTTACGTCCTWGTTAGCAAGATAGAATTTGTATGCTATTAATATAGTGTAAACGAAACATCACGAAATTCTCGGTTCTACACTCTGAACAGTTACATGGATTTACGTAAGTCGGAGATTTGGGCCTAATATGCCATTACTATATATAATTACATTTGTTTCAGACAACCATGTGTTWATGATAACAATACTACGAACCGTTAACTCTGCAGTCTTCAACCAAAGACTTTTTGTCTGAATATATTTCGCCATGCTATTTTTACTTGATTGTATTGTGAGGTGTGTTGTTTTGAGAGAAGCTCGATGTAAAGGTTAGACACAATAAATAGACTACACAACAAACCAGTGTTGTTATCCCATTCAAGGGAATGTGTATTTACTTTCAAGATGATTACATTTTATCATCATCGGGCAAAACTTRAATAAATAGCGTCCGTTCACTATAATAATGCAGTTACTTGGTCTTTACTCCAACTACAGTTAATGTACACTCCTACCCGTACYGACGTCGTTCATACTATCGCTTTAATAGGAGCAGTCCACATAAAGCGATTCAATAACCAAGAGACCGTTTCAGATGAAAACATCTCTCAGAGGCTCTTTTTCAAGATCTAAAAACACAAATATTTTGGAGTTTTATACAGAAAAAGGATATCTAAAAGCGCTGCGTTTTAATGTTCTCAATATTTTATAAAAGCTCGATCTATTCATCGCATTTCAAAGCTTATGCTGTACAGTACATGATTGAAAACAAGTGCCCCAAAAGAAATTTTGTACGAAATTGAGGCAGCTTTCCTTTTAGATTTAATTTAAACAGCCAATCACACGCCACTTCCGAAGAGCCGGAAAATTCAAGAGTGTAGGTGTTTAAAAAACCCTCAAAAATGTATCCGCAGCCTWCAAGTGCAACTTTGAATTCTTTGAAAACCCATTCTTTTGAAATTTATCGAAATTAGAGTTCGGCCTCTGTTGRAATCATATAATTCCCTATACTTTTTCCTATAATTCCCTTTTGTACATGAATAATACGATGGATAAACCGAGCTGAAAAGTAAATTTCACCCACACAATCCTGTAAGTCCAAATACGTGAACTATCTAAAGTAAACGCTACATATCTTACTTTATACTATACTATTGTTTATACAAATACAAGATAGAATAGCTACCATGGTCAAACTAATACTACATCTTAACCAAGGTATTGTAAAAGACACACGGAATAATGAGGTCACGCTAAACTTGGCCAAATCCATGTTGTAGATCCTCTAGGTCGGGCTAAACTACGATTGACGAACGCTACATGTATACTCAATGGCACCTAGGAAATACTGCAGTGTGGGAGAAAATTTGTAGCTGTGGCAATGCATCAGAGTTTAGCTCCTCCAGGTSCAATGAGCGCGAGCAAATGTAGCGCTCGTAATCTCAGTTTAACCATGCCTAAATGTATTTYAAAAAGTCAAAGGTTCACTTGATAATAACATGAACAATTCCTGCCTTGAAAAGAACTACAATATAAAAGACATCGTCAAATGTATGTACTATCTGTGGACAGTGGTTGAAACTATTCCTTTAGAAATGTCATCGCTATTTCAATGTAGTTTGAGCCCTCTGTCCCAGAATGTGAGTGTTGACTCTTTGTGGTTCATCTCTTTCCAAGGTGGCACAAAATACCATGGGGAAGGCGCGGGAGCACATCATGAAATGATATATTTTGAGGAGAAAAAAGCGTCAACGCTTGTACATTGTAGATCTTTGTAGTGCAGGTGAAATCAAATATTCTTTATCAATAATATCAAATTAGMAACCCGCAAAATTGTAGGAACAATCCTCGAAAATACAGCTAATGTTGGAACAATGTATACGATCTACGCTAACAGGACAGGCCAGCTTTTCCTGTCATCACAACAAAGTGCATTATTGAATGGTTTACTGAAATCATACTGTTACCTTCGTATATACAGCTTTTAAAACTATTCTAAGGAATACATACCAAACATTAAGGTATCAATACACAACACGAATGCAGCTTTGATATAAAGCTGTCAACTATTATACAGAAATATGCAGAAATTATGATCTTTTTGCTCATGTTTYACGTAATTACATGTCAAATATATCTGAAATTATAGGACATCATAGCTAATATTTTTTTCAGAGTCGTGACTAGTGCTGGGCAATTTGGTAACCCATAATTTCTGATATATTTGATATATACTTGGAATATGAGTCAAAATGATCATAATTTCTACATATTGCTGTACAGCCTTTTGCAAAAATTATGAGAATTGTCTAAATATYTAAATATCATAATATCCATATCCACATATTGTCCGGAACACGAGGGTTTGCTAAAGAATAATTCATTGTTGACATCGAGAAAATGTTCAGAACTACGGATAAGTCTGTCGCCAAAAAAAAACCCTAAACTACAAAGACAAGGGACTAAGGGCATCGCGCGGGATTACCCATCATGCACTTGATATTACGCGGATATTTAGATATTTCAGCAATTCTCATAATTTTTGCAAAAGGCTGTATATCACACAATATTGCTATATATATAAGTGTAGAATATGAGTTTTTTACATGTATGCAGACTTTGGAGCTTAAAAACGTGTTTTAAAAAAGTGAGAATAATATAATAGCATTTTTAGACTTTTTCAGCAAAACTGGAAAGTTGTACAGTCCTCAACTGGAATGACTTCAACGAAATCACCTTAAGCTATCTTTCAATGCTACTGAAGTTTGGTCATTATGACTGGTGCGTAAAGCAAAGAAAAAAGCATTTCTCTTTTTGTGATAAAAAGCAATGGAATAAAGTTTTAAAAAAACCCAAATAAAAACAGCACATGATTTGATAAAATCGTAAAATGAATAAGCTGCAAAAAGGCGCAACAAGTTATGCTTAAATTAGCATTCACACATGAAAATCTATACATCAYTTTCAAAAACGTGGTATAACTGTGCAAAATGGAAAGATGATGCGTTATTGTTTTGATAAGAACATCAAAATATTGATAAATGAATCAGTGTTATTTCTAAAGGTGTTTTTGAATACAGATGTATATACTACGCTTTGGCACTTTGAATAGAGATAAATTAAGCAATAAGCAACAAACCAAATCGGCTAAGGTGCTGCTATAATCGATACCATTCCATTCAAACCACCCAATTTATTTCACAGGCGATTTTTCTAGAACCAAAACTTATTTGGGTGGTAACGAACATGGCAACRCGTTAGCCAATGAGGTCAATAATTTAATACTTAATAGAACAATGAATTTTCCGTGCCATACGAAAAGTATTATATAGCTTATAATAATTTAAAGGAGGTGATCTATGTATGAAATCCTATAATTGGATAGTCCACTATTTCTAATAGCTTCTGGCATAGTTACTTACTATGCTTCTAGTGAGCCACTTAGCTATTGAGACATTTTTGACGTACTTCTCTGATTTTAAACTGAAGACTGCTCTTTGTTGGGAATAAATGCACATGCTTTWGCTGAAACTCTGCGATTACGCTGTCCGAAGGGAAGTAGCCACTCTCATCGAGCAGTCTCATAACCAGACTWCGACGTTGKTCTTGACTGCTACGAGACTGGTTGTCTTTGTCTGTTCTTGAAAAGTCGTCTCTGTCGTGTTGGAGAGCAGCTTCTGCTAAAGCATCCAGGCTKGAATGACTTGACACGTTGCTTCCACTCTTGCTGTTATCGTTCTCAATAGCCCTGGCTTGCCGTGACGAGTAACGTGCCTTATTAGGCGACTGTTTGGATGCGCATGCTCCTGAAGGCTTACCAAATCGCTTCTCAGCRTCAGAAGTAGGAGTAAATTCAGGAAGATCTTCGAACTTCTTTTGAAAATTGACATCAGACAGGACCCTGTGTAGTAAAGAAATAAATACATAGATGCTATTAATAATTTTCGCATATATCATCCGGTTTAGTTGTCGGGWCCTTTATCCACAGAGGAGATTGACAGAGGGGAATTTATTATAAAAGCTTTTTGGTAGACAGCTGATYTTTGATGGCCTAACCGAAGAAAAAGATTAATTGACTGATCAATAAAATCAAGGATATAAAAAGGGTCAAGGACAACAGAGAAAATAATAACGAGATAACATGAGTCACTTACGCCTCCATTCCATCGTTGACAAATCTTTTCAAAATGGTCTCGTTTTTGTCTCCGTTAGGATCAACTTCGTCTGACTTACAACTCTCAGTCAAYGTAGGATGATCGCTTTCYGCTTTCTTCCATGACTGCGCAACGTGCCCTTCGATCGTTCTTCCAGGGCTTACAACATGCGGAACACATTTCACGTTGTCTGCTCTGGGACTGACAACGGATGGTGAAGCTTGACCGCTTGATTTTCCAACTCCCAGAGAAATAACGGGTGAAGAAAAATGGAAAGTTGAAGTGGTAACCGCCAGTGAACTTGGTGACACTAGCGGTGGTGACACCAAGGGCTTAAACATATGCGGTTGAACACCTGTAWGAACAGGACTCGGCAGTGTGGGTCTAAAAGACGACAYWATCACACCCCCTTCACTAGAAGTAACTTTAGGTAGCATGACAGGACGTCCTTCTTTAGGACTTGGTAGTTGTTGAGCAATTCCTTGTAGCGTCGATGAGGCGACATATTGTTTAGGGGCTCCAGTCTTGGATCCTCTTACGTACGGAAGTGGTGCGATGGGTTTGAGATGTKGTTTCAGTGTTGGTGAAGTCTGTTGTGGGTTTGGTAACTGAGAGCTATCATGGTGACCAGTATTTAATGAATCAGCCATGTGTTGCTGRAGGTTTTCCGCAGCTACTCTAGGATGGTGAAATGACGGGTGAACAGGTTTTATGACTGAATGTGTCGAGACCTGATTGATGTCAGAGGTCTTCGTTAAATGTCGCTTGGGTCGGAATACTGACCCTTTGGGAGTGAAACTCCCGCTAATGGTCAGACCAGGAGATGACGATTTCACCGAGGKTGCTGGTAATGGYCGAGTAAATGTGTCCATCTCCACTGYTTTGTCATCTACTTTAGGCGTTCTAAACGTTGGTTCTACTAATGTATGTATCTGTCTTTGATAGGATGCTTTAGACTTTGTCTGTACCCCGGTACCTATGCTAGATGAAACCTCAGGAGTCCGTGCTCTTCTAGTGAACGGAATAGGTGAATAAGTGATTTTACCGACATCAGGMGTTAAACTACGACGCGCAAAGCCACACGGTGAAACACGTTGCTGAGGAAATACCTTCCTCTCAATGTCCTCTTCGTCTGAGCTGTCAAAAGCTTCTTCATTCTCGTCCATGTTTTCTCTACACTCTAATTCAACTGATCCCTCCTCGTCACTGTCTTGCTGTTCGGAGGTTTTAGCTGTTTGCTTGGATGGCCAATTACTCTGCTCTTCGATTAAACGCGTAGAGCACATCTTGAAGAAACAAAAACAATCTGTGTTAATATCAATCGTGACGTGTACAAGAGATCTCTATTATAAAGAATCATTACTTATTATTATCAATTATTCATATAAAATTAATAAATATTAAAATCACTGATATCGTCAGCCATGTAGTGACTTACCCTTTCTAACTCTATTATAGACCGATGGGCCTCAAGTCCTCGTGGCTGTGGAGTAAACGGTCTCTGGACAGTAGATTCCCTAAAATCGTCTTGATGAATGGGTGTGCTCTGGGAACGTTTGCATCGTGGTTTGGGTTTTATATTCTCTAGTTTCTGAGACAGAACAGAGACCAGTTTATGACAAAAATAAAGTAACTAGAAAGAAAATAGTAAACAAGGGAAAAAAGACAACCAAACGACAACAAAACAGAGAAAAGGGAAGATAACATAACATAAAAACACTTCAAAGTAAAGCGGTAATATTAAATATAGCACGTTTAGTAGYCAAATTGATTTGTAGGAATGTAGACAAAAATTAACCTATTTACTTGAATGATAATGCAGATATGGTCATCCATAGAAAACATTGACATTGTAATATCAGTGTACAAGCATGACATAGTCAAGTATTAATAGTGCTACGATTTGCTGAATTATGCTAATAAATTCTTTGTTCTGTTGTCTTGTTGTTAGCACTATTTGGTTAGGTTTTTTTTATTCTTTTAGTGTTTGCATTATATGCTATTCTTTCATTATCATTTAGTGTAAATTTAACATACCTTGGGATTTTCAGACTCATGGACAGTTCTGCTCTCAACAACTGTACCTACAAGGTAAATTAGATAGAACACCATTAAAACACTATGACACTCCACTCACCACGTAAGTTCTTTAAGAAAATCACATGCCAGAAAGAGAAACATAGCATTTTTCAAAAGGGCCATTATTTTTCTTACCTGCAGTTTCTGTATCTGATTTTTCTGAGTTYTTTCTTGGTGATTTCTTTCTATCTTTGCTGCACCACTTCCAGTCTGGATGYGCTTTATAATGAGCCTCCTTGACCTACAACCATTTTCCAAATAGAGTGAGGATTAACACAGTAAAGAAAAGTGTATAAGATACTAAAGCGTATTATTGTTTGCTGATTCTGGTAAGCTGTCACCCACTATAACTAGTAACCGTTTGTTAGGTGAATGTAATTAAAAGTCTCATTTCTATTATTCATAATTTTCTTTATATGCCCATTATCAAGCTGCAAGCTTATTAAATTACCACCTTGGGGATTCCCAAGGATGATGAATAGATGCCACAAAAGAGATGTATGACTTTAATTACTTGATTTATCATATTTTATGGATCAAAACCGCTAGGAAATGCAATTTATTGTAGATTTTTAAGTGAGCTTTGTTTAAAAAATTGAAATGAGAAGCACTCACCTGGGCAGCAAGGTCATTGTATTTCTGTTTGTCAGTAGGACCCAGTGCATACCACCATTCTCCCAGTATCTTGCTTACTGTTCGGTTATCTTGATGAGGGTTCTTTTGATGAACCAATGCTCTGTGACGTTTACTGAATATCATGAAGGCATTCATTGGCCGGCGGATGTGGTCCTAAATACATTTCATACAATAGATTAATACATCTTCTAGAATTATTTTGGGGAGGTGAGATTAATATCTGATAACATCAAAATAAAGTAGTATTATAAAATACCAAAACCAATCATAAACTGATATATTTTATAAATCAGAGATTTCAGCAAAATAGTTTAAATTTAACTTCACTGTTATTTGTGATAGCTCCACAAAAACTTAATTTGATTAACACAATTTATTCTTTTCAATAGGAAAAAAATCAATGACATGCATGTGCTGCCACTAGAAAAAAATACTGTATGCTTGAAATAAAAAAAAAAAAAAAAAGAAATTTAGCAAAAATTTAGAAATCATACAACTGACACAACACACTTGGAAATGATGTGTGTTTTTGATGTGTGCTTAGAATTACCATTTTTTTCTTTCTAAAGCATTTAAAATTTAATTCAAAATAACTGACAAATGTTTGTCAGTTTGTGGATATACTTTGACAATAATAATTTTTGTGGAAGTGCTCCATTGATATTATCATGACACATTGAAGCAATATCACCAAAACAAAATTTACATAGATATCAAAATGCTAAATGAAGTGTATTACTTGAATAAATGCTTAAAATATTATCATTTTTGTAACCCTGGTCACCTAAATAAATGGAATTAATCAACATATTTTATCTGTGTTTTTTGTTYGAATAGTATGCCATGAATATTTGCTAGTAAATGTTTCAAAATTCATATGCTATGAACTCTCCTGTTTGGAAAATATATGTAAAAGTTCATGAGGACTGCTTATATATGATTCATGAATGTCATGTCAATAACATGTGAGTAGGCAGTAACTGAGGTGTCATGTCCTGTGAATAATAACATGAATTGAGTTGTTCATACTAACATTCACTATATAAATGATTTAGCTTAGACTAACATTAGGAGTGACACAGCACAGAGAAATAATCTTAAAATGCCATGAATTGCAATAACATGTTCATCTTCTATAATATCATATTTGAAATATACCTGCCAAGCAAATTAAAATTCATTTACTTAACCACAAGAAGCAACAACATTATATATATATTATATTCTATAGTTTATGTGTTTCTTGTTGGAGCACCTGTTTTTTTGGAGTTTATAAAATGATAAACATCTATGTTTCCTGAATTTGAAACAGCATTATAATAATTTCCTAATGAGAAGTTTTTATCACTTGTGAACAATTCTAACGCATCTTATAGATTGATCTGGATAAGACTCACAGAATTATTGTAAGGACACGTGAGCAGTGGGTATTGGAATTTATCTTTTTATTGCTGCTTTAAGCTTTTTGGAATTCCAATTCAATCATAAACAAGCTGAAATATATTTTAAATTAAATCTTTCAAAGATAATTTCATATTATATTTTAAGAAAAGCTCTTTACAGCTTTTCTCATAATTGTAAATTCACTACATTATTCTAGAAATATTTTCTACAATCAAACAATACAAAATATTACCTTTGAATCATCTTTGCCTTCTGATCTGGAGTATTTTCTTGAAGTATTCTCTGTATCTATATGTGAAGTACTCCCATCAAGTGCATGAATATCATCATCATCACAATGATGAAAAAGGTCTCCATGATGACTGGTATCAATATTCATATCTGTGGATATGTGTCCTGTGGTGATGTCATTACCAAGAGTCAAGGTGACTTGAGGTAGTAAAGTYTGCCATGGGTGTACTGCTACACCTATAACATTAACCTGAGGACTAGGAATCTGTACAGTTGGGACAATGTTACTATTTGACTCTAGCTTTTTAGAATCGATTTGGTCATGTTTTTCACTGATACCAGTTGGCTTAATATTACTACAAGTTTCCTGTCTTGGATGACTCTGGATAACAGGCACAAAGGTACTGCTACTTGTAACWGGAAGGGACTGAGGAGGGACGGGTGAGTACATTATCCTTGCTGCCTTGGCTTTAGGAGGAGTGATAGCCGATGGAGCTGGGATAGGTGAAAATGTTCTCTTGGATGATATAGCAGGTGGTGTAGGTGGAACTGGGGATATACTCCCTACTGCAGGAGGAGATATAGGTGAGAATGTTCTTTTGGTTGGAGTAGTAGGAGAGAATAAAGGTGAAGGCGAAGTAACCAATGGCGTAATGCTTCCAATGTCTTCTCTGCAGTGTATACCCGAATCTGGGCTTATAGTGTTTGTCGATCCATTAAAGAACGGAGAAAGAAGTTCACTGGATGATCTTCCAGATTTAGGAGTGGCCACTTTCATGGTGGTTTTGGGGTTAAAGTTAAATGACGGAGAGAACGAAGCACCATAGGCTGGGGAAACAGGTAAAGGTGTAGCTGGGGTGGCACAKCGAGAATTACTTAAYGACACTAACATGGCAGCAGCTTCTTGTTCTTTATCATCAAGCTTCTTCACTTGATTTGATGTTGTTGAGTTCACTTCACCTTCAACACTACCTTCACTGTCACCTGACTCCCAATCAATTTTCTGACCATGCAATGTCCCTTTCTTGCGACCAGGTATACTACTCAAACTCTTTAGTGATTTACCCTTTAGGGACAGATGACGAGAGCAATAGCCTCTCCTTTGAGACTCTTTGTTACAATTTTCACGAGAACACAATCGTCTCCACTGCTTACCATTAAACTTCTTTCGAATGCCATTTGGCATTTGCACAATGTCGCCTTTTTTGTATTTTTGCTGTGTTGGAGTTGGTGTTCTGGATACAAGCTCTGTTCTGGGTACTTTTGACGGAGACGTATGCCAGGAACCACCATTTGTTCTGGATTTATTTTGTGAATACACCTCACTAGCTCCTTCAATTTCTTCATCTGATATAGCACTATCAGTATTTTCATCATCATAGTTATATTTTTCACTTATATCTTGACTACTAGACTCTTGGAAAGCTAACTGCCTAGCAACACCGTGCTTTCTACCCATTATGGGTGAATTACGTCTATTTGTGAAAGATCCATTTGAATCAATCAATGAACTAGTTCTTTTTGAGCTACTTGTTGTGGTAGAGAGTCTTCGTTTTAGGCCTCCTTCATTTTTCGGTGATGATTTGAATTCATTAACAGGCGAAGACAATGGGGGCACGAATGGGTCAGTTTTTGTCTTAATTTCTGGCATTCTAGTTTGTTGCTTCAAGCTTGCGTCTGTACTTTCAACAAAAGGCTTGTGAATGGAATTTTTGGGATGTTCGATAAAATGGGTAATGTTTTTGCGATCACTTGTCGAATCGTCCATGTCAACATCATTGTGGTACGACACTTTTGAGTGGTGAATTTTACTAGAAACTCGTCTAGCACTCCTTCGATTCATATTTTTTCCAGGCTCTGAAAAACAAAGAAATCAATGTCAAGAAATGGCAACTTTTATATTGACGAAATCTCGTTCGCACCGAACAAAACGCAAGTCTATTGTCATGAGTATGTGTTGTTACCATCGTAGAATTCGTAACTCCACATTTTCGTCGAGATCTTGTGGATGTTTTCTCTTGAGCTCCAATCCAAAAAATTGAATTCTAAAGATGATTYAAAGCTAATTGAATACCTAGATTTTCTAGCATTAGTGGTGGAGTCACTTCTAATTACAAACAAGTAAGAAATTCATGTCCGGTGACCTCAAACACTGCCAAAAACACATGACCAGGGTTTTGAACGGATAGACATYGCCGAAAAAAAACTGACTCTCAAAACAGCTCCCCGCTATTATTTAGAATATAAAGATTTCGATCTCTGTTCTAGCAGATGAGAACACGAGCTGAATAATCATCGAGTTAGGTCAAACGAAAATGCATAATACATGACTAGTATCGATAAACTGCAATGGAAAAACGAAACTCACTATGTTGTAGTATCAGCGATCTTGATGTACTTTGAACTATTATAGCATCGAAACTGTCTTATAAAAATCAAGCAATAATTCATGTCCGAGTAAATAAGGAATCTAAGGTCTATGACAAAGAACTTTATCGGAGAAAAACTGATTACCAAAGCGAAACGCTACCTCGAGCCAGCTGACAAACACTGATTGTAAATACAACGCCAGATAAAAATTTTGGAATAATTTGAGGCTAACACAATTCTTGCTTTAAATATACCTCGCTGCAGTCCAAAGTCACAATACTTAATGATCACTACATCGATTAGTTCTTACTATTCCGACGAAGAAAGGTTCAAAATATTTTTTTGTTCACTCAGTTGTGAATAAGTCCAGGCTTGTCTTARTGCTGTTTGTAAAGCGACAGAACCACGATGGAACATGAATTGTCGCTAAAATCTCGCTCCGATCGCCGTTTCATTTTACTCTTTCCGACTTGCTCAGTCGTATCTCAAGCAATAGACACGTAAAGTTTGGTAGTATGTTTTAAGCTGGGGTTAAAGGCGATAAACAAGTCAAAACGTATTTTTTTGTAGAAAGCGAAGAATGTCAAAAATATCTCTCGAAAATCAAGAAATATGGTATAAAACCGCATGATATACCGCACTTTTGTCTGTCGCCCAACATAACACKAGTTGGATGTATAATCAAGATATCTTACCATCCAGATCTGATGTTTACTCGAAGCCAGCAGTGAAGAGTGAAGAAATAGTAAAGGCAACAGCGACCAGACTTTCACTGAATGAATTGCATATGTGAGCAATATGTATCAAGCGCTTTGATTGGTCGTTACTTTCAATAGAGTCACATAAGACCCTTGCTTAGTGACCCCTTTTCGACCAATCAGYGTCCACTGAGAAAGGATATTTTTAAATTTTTCTCGACTACATATGCACATAAAATSCAATCCGAGGGTTAAAAAAACACACCATTTCAAATCGAAAATGTAAAAACTGTTGCCAACATTTTTTTTGCTTTGTGAAATTTTAGTCTCCTTTCTAAGAAGGTAAAAATGGCATAAATTACTGATGACTTGATACCAGCTGTTTAGTAAAAAGCTTTAATTTATTTGCCCTGAACATGACTGTATTAATGCAATTCGACTGMACGATTTTAGTTCAAGTCGGAATTGTCTAAGTTTTTGGTTGACAAGATGTATATGAAGTGGCTTTCGAGAAAGTGACATCAAACTATTTTGGTCAGCTGGTACCGGTGATTGTATAAAATGAGAACATCTTTGCATAAAAGTAAGTTTTGAAGAAACAAAAGAGAATAATGGTAGACCGAGAAACAAAAATAATTACAATATAATCAAATTCCTGTGTTGCACAGCAAATCGTAAGTTAACATTTATACTATTTGTGAAAAGCTTTCAAGTAAATCGTCCACCATTAGGGGTGTTGACAATCTTAAGGCTAATTGCAACACTTGAAAAACAGTAACCTGTAAGAAAAGAAACTAAATTACCCATAATTACATGCTTCTAAGCATCAGTGACTTAGTCCATCCCCTGTAAGTTGGCTATTGACATATAAAAAGCCCGCTGTCCAACTTGGCTAGAAAGTAGTAGAAATGTATATGTGAGTGTGAATAATACAATAACAATAACCAAATTAACCAAACCGACCGAAACCCGGACCGAAACTGCCAAGTCATGCCAGAAAGTGGTTCAGAATAATTAAGGTTCAAAATGTTTTACGTACAATCCAGTAAATGTCACTCAAATTAGGCTGRTGAAGACTGGAGACTACTGCCATGGTGTTAATTCATTTCACAGCATTTTGACTAGTTACGTTTAACGTACTTCAGTTTAAAACTATTACTTCATTCGCAGTTATGTTTCATTATCAGAGCTGCTTGGAATTGACTCATACATTATATGAACAAGATGAAGATGTACCTCCGGCCTCTCTTCGACACATATCGCAAAAAAATGAGTTGAGATGTCTTTTTTAGCAACCGAGTATTTAGTGAGTCTTACTTTGATATTTCTACGACATACTTAAAACTTGGTGTTATAGGGAACCTGATTCGTGTAAATTTTAATAAAACGTCTTACGAATACTAAGTCTGCGATATAACCGGTTTATTTGGATGATCTCAGGCTAAACGAAACGAGTTATCCCTTTACATCAACGCAGACGTTTACACTATTATTATTCTCATCATATGTACTACAAATCATCTCGGCAGATTTCTTTCGCAGGACATTTTGCATATCTTGTTTGAAATACAACTAAAACACTATGTTAAACGACCGATATAAACGAAAAATGCCTTATGTGGAATTAGGATCAGTATAGAAACTACAATAACTACACTCCTTATATACAGACACACTTTTTKCATGTCACATTAGAGTAACAGGGGCGCGTCCATGGAGGGGAACACTATATATATTTAAGACCTATGAAAACAACAAACCATGTAATCGGAAATGCAGTTTGTTGGTATGAAGTCATAGTAGATTTGTGTATCATAAGCGAAAATATACAAAACTTGAGACTGCATAGCCCTGGGCAAACTGTAAAGCATTCGCTAAAAAGAAGCCAGTCTATATCACGTTTAGGGTCTCAACACGCTAGAAACGGCCAATGATATTATACTTTGAGGATATGGACATTAATAAAAAATAACGCGTCCATTTTCGTTTTTGGCTCGTWCAATGTGCTGGATATCACATGCGAGGAAGTCAATGCTAAGTGACTCAATTTCTCTTTTGCTTCCGTTCGGGACTGATCGCAATGTCTACTATGCAAATGCAAGAATCAAGAATTTGTTTTCATGCAGTACTTCATAACAAGTGCTTTTGAGTGACAATCGTGTGAATAACAAGTCTCCAAAAAGTTATTAAAAATTGTTTTTGTCATGAGAGAAGATTGAAATCTTCATAGCCCTGGAAACTTTTGGCCCTCTTCTGCCGAAATGTGCACTCGCTTAAATTACGCTCTCGATATGATTGAATACAAGTAATCCTAGTCCGCAGTTTTCCATTATGTTCAAATTCACCTTCGTACGCGGGGCAGATGCAGTTGTGCTACTAGTACCACAAAGTTGTAAAGTTGAAATKATTTTACGTCAACGGTGATGACGTCGGGCTCGTCAATCACAACTAATTTAATCCAATGCTGTGTAGAGCTCACATCATGTCCTATAAGTATTCTCTGGCGTCGGCGTAGTTTACTACTGATTGCAACTAGATAAGAGCTACAAATTGAAACAAACACCTTATAAAGAAGCGCTTGATTTTTAATTTGAAGCTTTTTTTATACTAGTCAAACTAGAACTGAGACATCGGAAAAAAGGAAGGTTTTAAAAGATAGAMGGGAAAAATACATGAAGCATAACAACATCTCTTGATTGACGGCAGAACACAGTWTAGTTAGTACTACTGTAAAAAGATATCTTCGTTGCGTAGATTTATTGATGGCCGATTTATATACCTTTGGAGAACACTGCTTTTTAAAGGAYGGGAAAAAGATAATAGATGCGCATTATGARGATACGAAAACATGTTTTTGCGGYGAAGTTTGTGAACGAATCATCWTCCAAATATAGCATCGCGTGCAGTCTTAACTAAAAGTATCTCARATACCCAACTGTGAGAGAGACAGTGCGCATCTATTTTTTTATCAGGGCTGAAATTGTGTAGTCGCTTCCGATTTTCGCGAGGCCGTAAATCTCATACTTTTRAAAAAGTCGAAATGTCTCCGGCTCTCAAAAGCGCTTTGCAATACGTCTTGCCCCATAATGAGAACCCTATTTTGTTGATCTCGTTGCGATGACAACAAAAAGGATATCGAATATATTTGCATACATTAAATATCATACAGAAACGGTGACAGCAAAATCAATATGGCGAACTGCCGAAAAAGGACGAATATTCCGTTTATCCTTACATTTTTAACACAGGCGTATTTGGTTAACAGTAAAATTATTTCAGGTGAAATAAATACTCGTGAGGTAAGTGATTTKAATGAATATCTTGCGGTTAATCAGAAATCGTRGTTTCCGTTCTAAAACTTTGTGTTTCATYGTATTTSTATTTACTCAGGATTGGGCATTTATGACCAGATTTTGCTTTAAAGATTCGTACGGTCAAATGCAGTATCATTTGGAATATCCAGAGGTAAATGAATGTAAAACGAACTTTTCTTATGTCGTGATAGCATAAGCTTATGTACACAAGATCCTACAAATGAAAAAACTTCGATTTGAAAGTTTACTCAATTACTATTGCATTTGTTGTTGTAGGATTAYAAAGTACAGAATATTTTACTTTATTTTGATACTCAATGGCCGAAAACKTAYCCTCAGCCGAGTAAGGTAAGTTTTAAGATGCTGCAATATAATCTATGGTCGAATGATCGGCATTGTCCCATCMAAAATACAGTTGTCGTCATAGGACCCCACACCGCTATAAAAACCTTTCTAAACTGTAAATAAATACATTTTTGTGCGATATAGTCGCTCATTGCGAAATAGACATTCATTTCATTTCGTACAGTCTATCATTTCCTTACTCACTTAAGCTTAGAGAGCATTTTTAGCCTCAACAGAGATTGCTATTACTCAATGTAACTTTGAAAGTTGCAAATTGTCCTATAGCCAAGCTATCACACAAAATTAATTCATGCATTAAATACTGAAATGAGGTAATTACAAAGCTAATAAGCACCAACACCATGGGCATGACTGGGTTGGCTGCCACAAACCTATTTCAGAGAGTTTCTTTTATGTTTTTTGAAGTACAATAACAGCTTTTAACCAGTATCCGGCTACTTACGCTGACCAATGACAGAACAGGTGATAGCCTCAGGAATCTAAAGGGTCATTGCAGATACTACAAATGAAAAAGTACTAGAATTTTGACACAACTGAAACAACWATAAGCAGGACAAGAGATATGAAATCTTGTGTTTCTGCTTCTGYTGACAGTGAAATGGTACACAATAAGCATGTATATGCATGCTTAATGTAAAATGTATACTGCAGTGCTTGTGCTTAGTCTGAATCAACACTAAAGAAACAGACTTCTTGTCAAAGAGATGAAATGTGTGTGCCCRTGTTTAATAGTTTTTTTGCAGCCATTTTTAGTGATGCTCTTATAATTGTCAAGGACTGGCAGTAATGTAAAGGAGACTTTGTTGTGTTTTAAGTAATACTTTGGAAATTAAAATTTCTTGGGCCCTGTTAAAATTCCCCCCTCCAAAAGTTATTGTATTTGATTGGTAGGACCATTTAAAAATGTTTGAAAGATAACTTTATTAAGATATGATTTGTTCTATTTCTTAGACTTGTATAGAAAAAGAGGATGAGCTWTACAGGGGGAACAATCAAGTGATAAATTTAACATTAACCTATCACTGGTCTGGTTGTAATCTTGAAACAARAAATGACGTAAAGACCCTTGTTTGTAAAGGTAAAAGGATTAATAATAATTAAATATATTTTAAAGTTGCAGCTAGGATAAAATCATTGTAATTTTTGTGTAAAAAACGTTAGTTGTGCATGCATGCTTTGCATTTTGTCACTGCACTGATTGAAGAAGATCGCAGTTGCAATTGAAACGTTTGCATTAAATTTGTTTTTTCAAGCTGGAGATGGCTCAATTTCTTTATCAATCTTTAAATATAGTCAATTATATTATTTCTTGTCAATTGCTTGCACAAAGAAGTCATATTTTCACATGCAAAAGTAATGTAGTCATATTTCATTTGTCGCTTCATTCTAATTATAGAGATATTAATCAAATGCACGAAGATAAAATATGTTTCTCAGTGTGCCCATRTAATATCATAAAAGGTCAACAAACTGACTTTTAATATAGGCAACTGATAATGGACAATATAAGTCCATGAATATAAAATATAATGAGTGTTTACAAAGAATGCTGCAAGACAATAAGCTTCATTAACTGACTAGCAAGACAGSTAACATGATAGTAAATATCTATTAATATTGTAAAAATTAGATGCCATTGGAGCATTGYGCTTGAATGCTTTTTTGTCATATCATAAGCGTGATACTTTTAACTATGTGTACTGTGAATGTATTAAACAGGTGCATTCTAGAAGACAAAATGCCGTGGTATATGTAATGTTTACTAATAATGCAGCTGTGTTGAATTAGAATATGTAATGGAAGTATAGTATGAAACAAAAACATAGAGCAGGCCAATGTAAAATAACAATAGTCTGTTCTCTAGACTTTCACAAAGTTTCTGAGTCCAAAGAGAGTCTGACTTGTAGCAAGTCTATTTGTTCTCCTTCTGTACTAAAAGCTTTTGTATTAATTTGGATTCACCAAAGAGAGAGTTTATAGTCAATATGATCGAAACAATAGTTATTTATTTTAGTCTTCCACTTTAATATTTATGCAAATACAGGATATGATCTTTTTTAATATTTTACTGAAAGTCCAGTAAAGATGTTCTTATTTGACAA